AAGAAGACAACTTTATGAATCTAGAACCTCAGAAACACCAAGAGTGGCAACTCATATCTTTTGGAGTGGCATCAAACCACTAAATCTCATTCTTGGGGCCAAAAAGGAACCAAAACTCATATATAATAGATCTAAGCTATTAATGAACAAGTTCATAGCTTTTTACCTCAAACAAGCTGGAAATGAAATAGAGAACCAGGATCCACAAGCTCTTCCTTGATCCACAACCTTGCACCAAACTTCATATTTCTTGAATATGAACCAAAACACACCAAGATGCACACAATGAGCTCAAAAACACCACCATGGAGGCTAAGGGACGATTTATAGGGTTTTGGGAACTTGGAGGTTGGTAAAGAGGCCAACCCTAAAGACTTAAAGTGCTTATATAGGGTACACCATCATAAATTAGGGTTTTCATATACACCTCGTATGTCCCGTGTACTCCTCGTACGCCCCGCGTACTCCTCGTACGCCCAACATACAAGGCCTCGCACTCACGATCCTTCCTTCGCAGTACGCTAAGCGTATACCACATTACGCCTTACATACTACTTTCGCACCAGTACGCCCAACGTACTCCCTAGGTACGCCCTGTGTACTAGGGTTTCCCCTTAAACCCTAAAGCACTCCGAAGGCCATAACTTCTTTGTTATAAATCTGATTCCGACGATCCTCATATCCATGAAAAGGTAACAAGAAGCTCTATGCTTTAATCAACTCATGCATTCCTCATAATTCCTCGAACAAACATCCCATATCCATAAAAGCCCGAGATAACATATTACCAAAATATCCTTTGGCTCTAAAACACAAACCGGACACCCAGATCATCCAAATTACAACATCCACCTCCAAATGAGTCCAAATCTCAATTCTTCAAGGGTCCTAAGTCTGCTGATACCCACTCCTTGATCACCACCCTAAAATGGGAAACGATTCAAAACAGGGCGTTATAACTCTCCCCCACTTAAATTATATTTTGTCCTAAAAATCATTCCTTACCATCCCCGACACGCCAGACACCTGAGCAACATGGCCACAACCCCGAGCGTACCACAGCCTTCCCAAGACAATCGAAACCAACCCTAGCAGGGCTCTCCAACCTAAAGGTGAACGGATCCTTTCTCAACCTAAAATAATCCCTTGCAAAACAACCACGTCTACTCAACTTGAAATTTGAAGTCTCGAGATGGTCTGACTCTTTGATGGACCGCCCATACTGAACCATTTCTAAATCCATTCCACTTATCTCCTAACTTACTACTAAATTTATGATAACTTGAGGTTCCCCACTAGAAAACAAGATCACAAATCAATTATTGTTGTAGAACACTTATGCTTGACAGAAGGCTCATATAATCCATCAAGTAGAAGACTCATCCCGACAACAGTTAGACTCAGATGAGAGCTGTGCAACAGGGTCAAATATTTTACTATGAGATTATTTAACCCAAATTGCAAGTGACCTAACATATTCTCCGAATAACAAGAGACTCCACACACGAGTTCCAAATCAATAATACCTCCTTGACTTATCTTGATGCCCGACACATATAGAACCAAACCAAGACACGATCACAATGGCTTAATCTATCATCAAAACTGAATCCATTCCTTACCCTTGAACCCTTCGATTGATGCCCTAGGAATATAGATACCCCAATTCTTATCCCACTGAAAAAGAAATCCTGCAAATAAATACTCGTGATTCCCAACTCGAAATCTCACCCAAAAACCAACCCGATACTCAACTCATAACCTGAGATCCACGGATCTGCACTTACATTTTACCCAAAACCTTCCGATTCACGACAACCCCTCACTAGACTAAGATATAAAGGTTCCCAAACCATCGCTGAGACTACTAGTCTCGCACCTGGTCCAACCACCAGGTTCCCAAGTGTCAAAATAACAAGGCTGCCCAGCCTATAAACCCTATGCGTCATATAGTGGCCACCCGCTTAATCCTACAAATCAAAATCCAAACTCTTGACCCAACAGTCTCTGCTAGGTCTCAACTATATTTCCATGATCACATGGGCCTCGCCCACGGGTCCCACCCAAACTATACCACAGTACAACCTCGCCCATGGGTCCCACCCATCTAGAGCTACACAGGCCCGACTTCGCCCCGGGACCCTAATGGTCCTCGACCTAAAACAGAGAAATACTCCTCGAAAATCCTGACCGGCATGCCCAAGGCACAAACTGATTCCCCCTTTACGCTCATGACCACCTCCAACGATAGTCTACCTCAAACCGGTGAATGCTATGATCTCATCACAGTCTTACAACACTTCTAACCAACCATGGTTACCACCCATGGCCTTACAACCCCATGCATCCTGATCTGAAACCTGCATCCAACTGCATCTAATCAGGTGTTCGAGTCATACTTCAATTTCAAAGCCCTCAAACCAGACTCATCTACAGGCATGCTAGGCATAATAAAGAAGACGCCGACCAACGGTTGGAAGTTTCCTGAACTCCCACTTACACAACCTCAATCTAAACAGCCACTTGGGTTGTCTCTCCTCCTGGCCAGGATGTGAAACTTGCCCTAATTTCACACCCATCCTAACTCCCGAAAATCTTGATCGATTCTCCCCCACTTGGATTCGACGAAGTTCTCTCATTTCTTAAATCCGTTGGAGTCCCAACTCATCAACGCATATAGCATAAACCGCCTATGGCATGCGTTAATCAATACTAGTGTTCCATTACTAGTCAAACTCAATGATCGTCCAACTCCTAAAATTCTGAAGAATACTCTTGAAACCTTAACCAATCTGATAATCCAAATCACCTCCCATGATACCAATTCCTTGAGTTTTTATGCTGGCGACTAAAAACCATAACCTTTGCCCTGAACTGACGAATCTTCACCCCCAACTTCCATTCTCAAAGAATCATTGAATTCTAACCGTCTACAACCCATGCGAAAATAAAACTTTCCTGACATTTCCAATAACCAAAAAACTCATGCAACTGACACCATCATCTTCATGCTACCGCTCCTCTCCTAGCAACGGTAGTGTTTGAACCCCAAAAGTTCTTCCATAGACGATTGTCGATCCCACCAGATCAAAAGATAAAACAATTGAACCCTGACTTTACTGGAGAACTAACCTGCTACCCCTGACCAAAGATCCTCCAAGCAATACCCCAAAATTGATCCAGACAAAGACCCGGATCAACAACTGAACACGCTGAAACCCGCTCAACAAGATACGACCCTCTAAAGATTCATTAATGACTCTCGGTATGCAAAATGACATATCACAATCCTTGCTAATATAACTCAGACAAAAGCATAAAATCAACCTGAGATATTGCTTACCCAAACCCAAGCAAAATTCCAATGTAATACAGATCCCCGATAACAACCCAGAAGATATCATACCCGTAAAAGCATCTGAAGGGATTCCAACCTCCTTCTCCTGAGTTACTCCGACCATCCCGAGGAGATGATGCAAAACTCCTATCCGATCACAAATGACAAGAACTAAAAAAATAAGATCCTCCTTCCTGAAGGATTTTAGGATCCACAAGCTTTGGGCTCTAGATGAGCCCCCAACCGCCCTACTACAATCTCGACCCGAAAGGCCCCGAGATGACCATATAAGAGCTCCAAAATTCTTTCCTTGACTGAACCCAAGACCACCGAGGTCCATTGCAACATACCGCGAGTAACCTCCGATGAGATAAACTCCTGCATCCGCGCATCGATCAGCTCAGTACCTGCACCTGAGCCGAAACCAGAACCTGAACCCCATTTATAAGTGCTCAACACCATACCGAAACAACATGCAAAAGATCCGAATATATCCAAGAATCCTCATCCCACAGGCTTCCTAGATTGGAATTAGAAAATTGGGGGTGGGGTGGGAGGGGTGGCGTGAGAATGGGTGTGTGTTTATATTTTAGAAAAAAAATTGGAATTAGAAAATTGTGCAAAACAATAATTATCAAAATTTTAAATTTTCTAAATTCTTTGTAATTTTGGAATCAAATGTTTTTAATTTTCCATGAAAAATTTAAAAAAATTGTTGAACTAAATGCGTTTTCAAAATTCCCATTTTTCTTGAATTTTTTTTCCCAAAAAACGGTATATTTTTCTTTAACTAAATGCACCATTATAATTTAAAATATAAATATTTATACATAAAATGGATTAGAGTAGAACAACTATTTTTTTTTCTTTAGTCCAATTTAGAGGTGCATATCAAGAACCGTTGTTTATAACCGGATTTTTGAGAACCAATTAGATTAAAATTAAACTGTCGGTCAAAAATATGTTTTTACAAAAAAGGGAAACCGTTTTTTTTTTCGATTTTTCTTAAAAGAACGAATTGAACCGGTCTTTAAACCGAAAAAACCAATTTTTTTAATGGAATTTCATTTCCAAAAAAACTAAAACGATTATATAAAATCATTTCTACTATAATAAATAAAAATCTTTTTGCCACATGTCACATCCTTATTTATTTTGTCACATGTAATTTTATGGTTATTTTAAATTAATTTTTATTCCACATGTCATTTTATGGTTATTTTTTTATTTTATTAAATTCCACATGTTTAAATCTAATAATAAATGCATATCAATTTCATTAATGACTTTCCTTCTAATTTCAAGATTACTAAATTAAAGTTTCATTAATTTCTTTTATTTATTTATCTAAATTATTTGTTTAAATTTAAAAGAGAAAAAAAAACACTTTAATTTTTATAATTCAATATTTTTTCTTATTTTTCTTATAAATTAAAACTTCTTAAATATTTTTAATTTTATATTATTTTTTTTTTAAATAAACTCATGTATTTCTATCTAGTTTTCTAATAAACCGGTTTAAAACGAGCACCTCAAGTCTGCTATAGACTTTCTTTTTATTATTTTAGTAGTAGAGAAAAGCCCAATGCTCTTCTTACAAAATTTGGGCCGGTGCGAAACTTAACAAAGGTCCATCCAATCAAGTTCCAAATTAACAAAAATATAAATTCCAGCAAGTCTAGCCTTCTCTTCCCCATTCTGGATTAGGGTTTTGCAGCCGTCCTCAGAGCGTCAGCAAGCAGCGGCCAATTCTCCATCTCCGTCGCCATGGGTCGTATGCACAGTGGAGGGTACTTTCTTCCTATATTCTCCTTCATCTGTCTGTATTTGCATATGTGTTTTGATGATTTCGATTTTTGATTTGTTTTGTTTTGTGATTTTGGTAAACAGCAAGGGTATCTCCGCATCAGCTAAGCCATACAAGAGGACTCCACCGAGCTGGTTGAAGATTTCATCTCAGGATGTAAGAAACTTTATCATTCCTATGTTATAGTTTTAATCATCCTTATCAAGAAGTGATTTTTCGGCTAGGCTTGTTTCTGTGGTGAACCTAAAAGAGGAAAAAGTACTATTTGTCTTTGTTCATTTAGGTTAGAGTCATTATTGGCTACTGAAGTATCTAACATAGATGGTTTTATTCAGGTTGAGGACAACATATGCAAGTTTGCCAAGAAGGGTCTTACGCCATCACAAATTGGTGTTATTCTTCGTGATTCTCATGGTATTGCTCAGGTGAACAGTGTAACAGGAAGCAAGATTCTGCGCATTCTGAAGGGACATGGTATGCATTTCCATCTCTTCTATTCAACATTCCTTCTATTTGGTACTAAAGTTGTTTCCCCTTTCATGATTTTTTAGGCCTTGCTCCTGAAATCCCTGAGGATTTGTATCACCTTATCAAGAAAGCAGTTGCCATTAGGAAGCATTTGGAGAGAAACAGGAAGGATAAAGATTCCAAATTCAGGCTCATTCTTGTGGAGAGCAGGATTCACAGGCTTGCTCGCTACTATAAGAAGACCAAGAAGCTGCCACCTGTCTGGAAATAGTAAGTCCGAACATTTTTTATATATCCTTCATTGTATCCATCATGCATTTTGATCCTATTTTTGACATCCACCTTTTTTTTTAGTCTATCAAACAATCATTTTGCATCAACCAGCTTTTGCTATTGGTAGCATTTGATATCAACATATGTTCATTTTTTTTTTTGTGTATTATAGCATCCCACATTCATTTTTTTTTTCTATACAGAATTTAACTTATAGGATTGTACTTTCATATTTTCTTCTTAGACATTATATTTGAACCCATACCTAATTATAGCAGTAAATTAATAGGAAGAAATAAAAGGAGAATGCCATAATAAACAAATGGGCGAAAGTATGTTGCTATTTCTTCCATTGATAATCAGATATGATTTATGTACTAACACAACATTATCATTATTTGTTTATGCAGCGAGTCCACCACAGCCAGCACTCTTGTGGCCTAGAGAAGAGAAGTGAAGGTTTATTTTATTTTTGTAAAAGTTGGAAGAATGGAGTTTCTTATTTCAAGTGGGTGTTTTCTATTTTGTTATGTAGCATGAATTTCAGTTTATATGGCATTTTTTTCAATGATATTATATTTAACTTTCAAGGGTTGTGTCTTGACTCTTGATGCTTATACTTGGTTTTAGACTCATGCTAAGTTTGGCAATACTAGCTGTGAAAAGCTAGATGTTAGATGATTAACTATAAATTGGCATTTATAATTTTTTTTATATAATAAAGAATGTATCTGGAATATATCTAAAAAAGCTAGTTTAAATAGCTTCTAAAAAAGCTTCTCTCTCACACACACACACAGGCAAAACCTTCAAATGAATGGCATAATCATAAAAACTCATCCCTAATACCATTTCTTTTATTCCGGACAAACACAAGCAAAACAACTTTGTAAATAAAAAAAATTAGTAAAATCATGATTATGTCAATTTCAAATATAATTTTGTAAAAAAAAGCAATGTAATTTGTATTTTTTAATCTTTTAACAGATATACAAAATCAAATAAATTTTAACAAAAGAATTAAATCCATTCCGTTTTTACAGCCAAACTTTTTAACATATTTAAATTCATCCATTCATATTTCAATGAGTTTCATGATTCCGATTCCTTCCAAAAATCAGAACAACCTATATCCTCAAGGAACGCTGCTTCATCGAAATATCATTAAACATCACCTTTCATCTCTTCAATTCAATTCCAAGGTTCAAATTGATGTTTTAATTAACCAAAGCAATTCAAAAAATACCCAATTTTTTACCTAAAATCTCGAGAACTATCACCGTCTTCAACTCAGACATTAGCCGTAGATCTGCTCGATGTGTTTCCTCCTCCTTTAAGGTAAATTTCGTAAACCCCATTTATAGTTTTGAGTTTTCCCATTGGAGTAAGAGGGTGTTGGCAAAGGTTAAAAAGTAAGGGGTTGTTTGTTTGACATCTTAATTATCCCATCAAGAGGCTGTATCTGAATGATTAAGATTAAGAGTGTTTGGTTGAACCTTTTTCACCCTCTTAATCGGTAAGATGTGCCAAAAAATAGATCTGATTCGGTAAGAAGTCTGAATAAAAAAATGGAAAAATTTCGTATGCGCCCTTCTTAAACACCTAAACATCGTATTTGTCTGCCTAAACTCTAAATATCGTATATGTCCTTATTAATGTTTTTTAATATCATATATACCAAAATTTTTTTTTTTGGTAATTTTTATTGATTTATAATTGTTTTTCATAATATTAAATCATTTTAATTAAAAAAAACATTTTGAATGGACCATAATACCCTTCCTTATTGCTACAACAGATCACAATTTTCACTCGTATCAAAAAATCAAGTTCGAGCTCCTGATATTGCGTCCAACGCTGCTTCCAATCAATCGATGCTTCCAATCGGTGCTTCCCCTGTTGTTCGCACGCACACACACAATCACCAGGTAAATAACTTGCGAATCCAATCCCTTTCTTCCATCGGCATGAGATCGCATTCACATCATCAGGTAATTTCTTGTTGTCGCTTCAACCCGATTCCTATTTTCCACCTCTTTATTGAATTGTCGACGGAAGTTGTTGATATTTATTACTGAATGTGGTCAAACTTATCAAATGCCATCGTCTCCTCCTTCAAAAGCTATTTTGTTCTTGATAAGGTGTGATTGTTCACCAAACCTGCACTCCAGGTATTCGATGAAAAGCCAGACTATATGTACGTCTCATTAGTGTTTGTGTTTTCACATAGTGATGCAATGTAATTTGTGTGAGCTTCATTGTGAAGGGGAAGTTGGTTTCCTTGGTGGTATAATGGAATGATCGGACAATTATATGCAGTTGCATCAAATCTAGGAATTGATTTGCAACTCTTTTGTTCATATTCATGTGATACAACTTGCTGAACAAATCAAACAACAACAACAGAATCGAAATTGTGGAAAAGGATTGGATTCTCAATTTATTTACCTGATGATTGTGTGTGTGCGCGACAACAGGGAAGCAACGATTGATTGGAAGCAACGTTGGATGCAATGATCGGAAGTATCAGGGAGTCGAACGTGATTTTTTGATATGGGTGAAAAAATGTTGTAGCAACAAGGGTATTATTGTCCATTAAAAATGTTTTTAATTAAAATGATTTAATATTATGCAAAACAAATATAAATCAATAAAAATTACCAAAAAAATAGATTTGGGTATATATATGATATTAAAAAACATTAAGAAGGGCATATACTATATTTAGAGTTTAGGCCGGGCAAATACTATATTTAGCTGTGTAGGAAGCCAAATTCTGCCTAAAAAAATTACATCTAGACAAAACTTCAAAAATGGTCCATGTGGTTTTCGAAAATATCAAGTTTAGTCCTTAAGTTCAAAAAACGTCACGGATCGTCCCTGTGGTTTCAAAACTTTTAACATTTGGTCCTTCCGGCTCACTCCGTTACCATTTAGCCGTTAAGTAAGGGGTATGTTTGTCATTTCGCTACCCAGGGACCATTTATGAGGTTTTGTATTACTTTTTTTTAAAATAAATAAATAAATAAAATTTAATATGCAAGGGGTCCCACCTCTTTCTCTCTCTCTCTCACAGATCATAACAAGGGTTAAGATCACAACAATAGCCGATAAAATCAATTCCGTGTTTCAATTGGGTCGGAATCTCATGTCAGAACGACAATGTTACCAGAATGTTACCGGAATCAACATTTCAGGGTTTAGGCGAACACGAGCTGGAAGAAAAAACCCTCAATTTGCAGTCGATTCACTTGCAAATTTATCCAATTTGGTGTCCTTCAACACTTCTCGATTCACTCTACCTGGTTCAATCCCTAATGGATTAAGTCTTCAGCTTCAAACGAAGTAAAATGACTTAATCACCGGAAAAACACAGCAGCAACCGGAGTTGCTGCCTCCCTCGACTTCACCTCCTTTCTTCTATTTCGATGATAAGCCGACCCAACCACCCCCTGATCACCACCATTCCCAGTTGAAGAAACCCACCATCGCAACAGGTCCTAGTAAGTTTTGTTCAACAGAGAAGAAAGGTAGCCGAGAACCTCCGACTTCCCTTCTGTTTCCTTCTGTTTTCGAATCCCAAGCAAATCCCTCGCTATATCCTTCTTCATCCATCGAGTTTCAGGTAGAGATTTTCCTGCGAAATCACAGGGTAAAAACCCCTCTTGTTTCCCCTTTTTTTCACTAATTCCCCACAAACTGAATACATCTCTGGTTTCTCCATGCCCTGTTACTCTTGTACTCCAGACACCGTCTTTTTCTCCATCTCGAGTCATTTTAGTTGACATGGCGAAAGAAGAATGGGGTGTTGGTGGGTATGGATCGATGAAAGGTTTGATCAGACTTCGTTCTCCTGAAATGACGAAGAGGATGAAGAAGGTGGGTCAAGTGAAGGCGATGTGGAGGAACATTTGGAGGTGGATAGGAGTCGATGATAAGATACACATATAGCTCAACTGGAAGAACATCACTGATTTTCGTCATCTTCGTCCATTTCTGGTTTATTGATTGGTTTAATTTTGGATCTATCTAATGTGATTGACATTTGTTGTATTTTCTAGAATGTTGGCCATTGATATGATATGAATTAGGGCAGATTAACAAAATTGGGGTTTTTTTATAAGGGTTGTGGGTAAAGCTTTTGATTTCTTTCATGGATTGTAGTTCTGGAAATGCACACACATTTGCTGTGTGTGTGTGTGTGAGAGAGAGAGAGAGAGAGAGAGAGAGAGAGAGAGAGAGGACCCTTTGCATATTAAATTTTATTTATTTATTTTAAAAAAAGTAATACAAAACATCATAAATGGTCCCTGAGTAGTGAAATGACAAAAATACCCCTTACTTAACGGCTAAATGGTAACGGAGTGAGCCGGAAGGACCAAATGTTAAAAGTTTTGAAACCACAGGGACGATCCGTGACGTTTTTTGAACTTAAAGACTAAACTTGATATTTTCGAAAACCATACCATTTTTTAAGTTTTGTCTTACATCTATTATCCTTGCCCTAACAATAAAACATCGTCCTCCTCATTTTTATTCTTCACCTTCTTCCTACATATCGACCACTCCTCCCTCATTCTCCCTCTTCATCATCCCCGTCGACAGCTTCCCTGCTAGCCACCGGCTTCGTCGTCGCCTCCCCCTGCCAGCCTCAGGCAGCGTCGCTCTATCTCTGACTTCGTCGCCTCCCCCTCGCATCCTCCCCTTCGCCGGTAAGTTTTTTGATTTGTTTTTTTTTGCTCGAAATTGGTGTTTCAATCATGTTCTTGCTGCTTGTTTTCTATGAAATTGGTGTTTTAATCGTGTTCCTTCTGCTCTATCTATGTGTTTGGTGTTTTAATCGTGTTCCTTCTGCTCGGTTTTTATGAGATTTTGGTGTTTTTGACAGATTCTTGGTCGACATCAATGCAATTTCTATTGGGTACGTTCTGATTTCTTGTGATCAGGTTGATGAACAAAGCTTGGTGTTTTTGACAGATTCGATTTTTATGAAATCCAATTTTATGATCAAGTTATATATACTTTTAATCTTTTATTCGTAGTTTGAATTATCAAATTGATAAATTTAGATGTTGTATGATATGTAAGCTTTTTGACTAAGGGCTTTTCTAAAAAATATTGATAACCTCTAATAAGGTCATTTTTCATAACTCGTTTACTCTTTTCTTATCAAAAAAACTCTTTATTTCAACCTTTTAAACTAATTGACCAAATATACCCTAAACCTAATACATCGACATTCGCCTCCATCGCTGTTCTGTTGTGCTCTCAGCTCTGGCGTCGACTCCTGAAGCAAAAATCGACATCGCTGCTTTCCCTCCCCTGTTCGCCGCCGTTAACCAGCTCCTCGCCACTGCCGGAGATCGTCGCAGCCCACAGCCCTGGTGCTGTTCCTTCGAACCCACAATAAAGGTTCGTTTTTCCTTTTCTCTGTCTGCTTTCATGCGTTTCTGCTGATGCCGTTTTTTTTTTCCTTTCTCTGTCTGCGTTTCATGCTGTCAATCTTCTTCTTCTTCTCTTTCTTTTGTTTTTTTGGTTCTCTGAATTTTCCATGCTGTCGATTTTTCCGTCTGTCAATCCACCTGTTTCCTATGGATGTGGAGTTGTGGTGCTGTCGATTTTATTTATTCAAGGGTGTAGTTTACCATGATGTGAATTCATAACTGATTTTGAATGAAATAACTTTGAATGTGTAGTTTATCTTTGAATGTGAAATCTGATTTTGAATGAAATGAAATGCCTTTGAATGTACAGTGTTTGTGCTTTAATTGTCAAGCTTATATGATACCTTGAATGTGCATGTGTTTGTGCTTCAATTGTCAAGCTTAAATGATACCTTGAATGCAATTTAGGTTATGGACACCAACAATGTTAATTTTGTTGATTGTGAAACATCAAAAAATAAGCTTAAGCCTAATATAAAAGAAAGTCTTTTTTGGTAATTTTGCATATATAAGTTGTCTTTTTTGCCGAACACTAAAAATGACTTATCAACTTATAACGTTTTGACACTAGCCAAACATCTTTTAAAAAACTCCGTTTTGACGCCGCTATAAGTTAATAAGTTACAAGTCAAAAAGTTAAAAGCCTTTTTAAATAAGCTTTGCCAAACACTCTCTAATTATTGTTTCTCCGTTAATTGAATAATTTAAGCTCAATTTATAAATCTTAGAGCTTCAAGATGTTGCGATATGAGTTGTCTCATAGTAGACATAGGGCTCAAAATTTCAAGTGGGATTGATAATTCACAGGGATTCTACTTTTGGGAGATCTGTTGTTATGGAAAAAATCTGAATAAAAGAATTAGGGCTTCACGTTAATAAAATTCACAGGGATTCTACTTTGTGTTTATGCTTCAAAGAGAGAATGAATTCTCACTCTTTTCTGTTTGTTTTTACCTTTTCCTCCTCAAGCTACAAGACTTTTCTTTCAATGCAATGCATGTATCGGTTTTTAAAATTAGTGTCTTATTTTGTAAATATTTAATTCTTCAGGGTCCAGAATAGATGCCAGTATAATAAAAAGAGCGTGAAATATCCGCAGGCGTGACAGGAGTCTGGGCAAAACGCCACCACTGACCGCCAATGATCGCAACCCTTGCCAGCAATACGTTAGGAATCCTGCGCCACTTCCGTTCTTCTTCTTCTTCTTCTTCTTCTTCTTCCTACTCTCTAGATATCAAGTTTCATGCCCTAACCTCCATCATGGATTCCATTAACAGTCACGGAAGCTCATCTTTCTCCACCTCTGCTCGTTCTTCTAGAAGGTACATCTCTCTAAAGTCATGTTTCGAAATAATCAGGCCTGTTGTTTTTAGGTTTATTAATTAGATGACATTTAGATTTTGTGCAATAGCGGTTGTTTATACGTCCAACGTCAAATAGTTTGATGGATTGATTGGTGTTTTACATGTCTACTTGTTTATCGTTCAGATTACTGTTTAAGTTCACAGTATGTTATATAAAATTAGGTATTCATGTCTGAATTGTAGACTCAGTTTTTCCTTATGGTTTTAATAAGATGTGCCGGAACTCTGAATGTGATCATTAGTATGGGCATATACTGAAACATAGCTGATATTAGCCTCTTATGGATACAATATTTGAAGAAGCCTTCTTCACAGTTAAGAATTCTGACTAAAAAAAAAACACAGAACAACATCCATGACATTTGAACATTTTAAATTACTCTTCCCCAAAACAAACAACTTCTGTAACATTAACCAGCTAGTTGCAAAGTAAAGATTACAGCTGCAGTTTGTATGTATATCTTAGTTATTTTAATTTCAGCATTGCCTTAGAGAGTAGGAGAAAAGATTATCATAAGTTGTTACTTGTTAGATTTCCTTTTCAATGAACTTGTAATTGCAGAGTATGAGAATTTTTCAGTGAAATTTTTAAGAAATAATCCACTTTCACCTATCTTGATAATAAAATGCATGAGAAAGAGAAACAACTACAATTCTGTTGCTACTAACCTACAAAACTCCTGAAAGTTTTTGTACACCTTCATGAACCACAAACCATATAACAAGACATGCAGATAGATGGATTCTGTGTTGATGCAAAGCCTAGTTTTAGAACCTGATGATGAAAATTTGGTAGATTAATTTAAAATTGTTTACCCTAAATGACCATATGTGTAATTTTTAATGATATATTTGTTGGTGGCAGTGGTGGTTCATCAATGACAGAAAGCCATGGAAGGTCAAGGGGCCGAGGTGGAGGTGGAGGTGGGCAAGATAGAATTGATGCTCTTGGCAGGCTCTTGTAAGCATTATGAATCTTTTCTATGTTTTAAAAAGATAAGTTTTTTTTTTTTTTTTTTATATGTTGAATACTTGATATGCTATAGTTGTTTTTTTTTTGCAAAATGATAGCAGAAAATAGGCTCTCATTGAACCAAAATCTAAAATTTGTTTATTTCCATCAAACTAAACTTGTAGGACCCGTATCCTGCGACATATGGCTTCTGAGCTGAAGTTAAATATGAGGAGTGATGGGTATGTCAAAGTTGAAGATCTATTGAGACTCAACATGAAAACATTTGCCAATGTTCCAATAACTTCTCATACAATTGATGATATTAAGGAGGTTCTCCTCACTTTTTTTTTCATCTTCATTCTGCTCTGCTTTTAGTAATAAGAGATAATTAATTATATGTATTTTCACATCATGCTAACAATAAGAAAGAAAGAAGCATGAATTTTTGTTGTTGGTTGTAAATTTGTAATGTGTGCTTTAGGCTGTGAGAAGGGACAATAAACAGAGGTTTAGCTTGCTTGAAGAGAATGGGGAGCTTTTGATTCGTGCAAACCAAGGTCATACTGTAACGGTATTTATTCTTTAGGGTTTTATTTTATCTTATGCAAACAAATGGCAATGTACTTTCATTGATTTCTATATTATAGCATTATACTTTCATTTGTTACTTTGAAACTATGTTGCTATTTCTTGCATCCTCTTTTTAATAAATAATAAATACTCTGTTGGTTGGTTGGGTTGGCAGTTGGTTGAGACAGAAAGTTTACTTAAACCCATCCTCTCACCTGAAGAATTTCCTGGTAATGACATTTTATAATTTTTTTTTTCTTAATGTTTGTGTTGATCTTTTCTTGATGTTTTTGATGTCCAGTTTGTGTGCATGGAACCTACAGAAAGAATTTAAAATCAATATTGGAGACTGGTCTTAAACGCATGCAAAGGCTACATGTCCATTTCTCTTCTGGATTACCAACCGATGGTGAAGTAATTAGTGGTAAAAATTTCTCATCATACTTCCAATTCTTGCTATTACAACAAAAACTTGTTATTAGGACATTCATTATATATACTACGTTGAAAACATTTAGCCAATTATAGCATTAGGTTTTCAAAACAAAGAAATGAAAGTAGGATGGTATAATAAACCAATTTAATTGATGAAAGTATGTTGTTGCGTTTAACCTTTTGGTTGAGAATTTGTTATTGCTTGTATTGTTGTAGGAATGAGGAGGGATGTGAACGTGTTGATATTTCTTGATACTAGGAAAGCTATTGAAGGTACTCACTTTTTGAAATATTATACTCAGCTGCAATTAGGTTTCCTTTTTCAAGATGAAATTACCTATTTGCCCCCATAGTGATGGAGAAAGTATTTGGCAGGGGGGATGAAGCTTTACATATCGGACAACAAGGTGATCTTAACAGAAGGTTTTGAGGGTGTTGTCCCAGTCAAGTATTTTGAGAGGATAGAATCATGGCCAGATAGGAAGCTTATACCTTTTTAATACACTCTCATCCCCTAAAATTTAGCATCATGATTTCGGATAACCCACCCACATTACATTTAATTGTCATACTACTTAAATGAAACTCATTAAATAGACTTTTACCGGAAATGTGGATAAATCAATAGGTAAAATATAATGTGTTCTTTCATACATAGATACATAATAGGTTGTGTTTTTCTGTATTTCGTCATATAAATATCTAATCTTGATACAAGATAACATTTACTACAAAATGTGTGGCAAATTGTTAAACCAATTACAAAAGTCGGGTAACCAAATTTATTTAAAACTATTCGGTTCGTAGTAAATGTTATCTAAAACTCAATCATAATCTAGTCCAAAATATGAGTTTTAACAATTTTAACAAATGCTACGTACATATAAGTTTATAACCATATCACTCTGTAAAGTTTAATAATTTCAATTTCTAACATCAACTTTTGATTATTAGGTATTTTAAGTTTATGTTTACGGATTAGGATGTAAGTAGTAATAAACACAACAAACCTTATATTTATAATAACACATAGAAACTCACAATATAATTTCGAGATCATATATGTCAATAGTAGAAGTATAAATATTTTGAAAAATAAATGGTTACGAGGTCACGTGAGTGTATAACTATAATACCATAATCATTCCAAGGCGCAATTTTTTTAGAAAAACCCTTATATCTGGTCTCATAACCATTTATCTGGTCAAAACTTGTGTCAAAACGATAGATTTGTGTATTTTTGTCATCCTTACATCAAATTCATTTAGATAGGAAAAAATTACACGAATGGTCCCTATGGTTTGGAGTAATTTGTGTGCTTGGTCTCTAACTTATTTTTTTAACTCGGAAAGTCCCTACTGTTTGTTTTTGTTACACGCTTGGTCCCTACTGTTTGTTTTTGTTACGCATTTGGTCCCTATCTCACCTAAAAAGACTATTTATTTTAAATAGAAAAAATGATGGGGTCGGTAAGGTAAAGTGATGACGGTGGGGTTGGGGGTGTGTTTATTTAGATAAATTAAAAAATTAAGGACAAAATAGTCTTTTTAGGTAAGACAGGGACCAATCGCGTAACAAAAACAAACAATAGGGACTTTCCGAGTTAAAAAAATAAATTAGGGACCAAACGCGCAAATTACCCTAAGACCATTCGTGTAATTTACTCTTTAGATAATCACATGTTGGTCCAATTGGCCATTTCATAAATCTTTAAGGTCCAATATTGTGAATATTCAAAACTTTAGGGTTAGAATAGATGCGTGTATGTATAATTATTATCTAGTCTAATAAATGAATATTTTTTTTGCTACATATAATATTTCTCATTAGTTTGTCAAATGTCATTTTGTAGTTATTTTGAATTAATTTTTCTTCCACGTATCATTTTATAAGTTTTTTCTATTTTATTAAATTTCACATAATATTTTAATGTAATAATTACAATAAATGTAATAATAGACTTAAGTTCTAATTTCAAAATTTCTAAATTAAAGTTCATTATTTATTTAAATTATTCGTTTAAGTTTAAAAGATAAAAAAAACATTTCAATTTTAATAATTCATTATTTTTTTTATTTTGTCATAAAATCCAAAGTTCTCAAATATATATATATATATATATATATATATATATATATATATATATATATATATATATATAGTTAACTCATATAATATATGAGTCTCACAACTAGTTAATTGATATTTATACATCTAATATTTTACGGAAGCAACACCACATATAAAAGGATAGTCTGGTCAAGTGTCCCATGAAGATTAGTTTGATCAAAATGTATGGTGGATTGGATTTTGTTCGGTAAAGATGTTTTGTCGTAGGGATGAGAGTGGGTCCAAAACCCGGACCGGTAGACCCGGACCCGAAAAACCTGGGAACCGGTTAACGAGATTTTGTAGGATCGGAAACTGGACCGGTATATAGGAACCGGTTCCAGTTCGGTTCCGGGTAAAGTGGGTCTAGAACCGGAAAATCCGGAAACATTAAAGTGAGTCATGTGGAACCGGGTAAAGTGGGTCTAGAACCGGAAAAACCTGGAAATCCGAAAATTTTTGGTAATTACTTAATGGTTGAACTTTGAAAAATTTCAACTTTGATATCCCAACTTCAAGGGACTGTAAGTCATTGAATATTAAACCAAAAATGACAAAATTATAGTTTAAAATCATGTACAAACTCTAAACTACACGTTGCAAAAAACATTATAATAATCCGACTTCAAACAAATTAGATATGAATTTTTAAAACTTTACAAAATATAAAAATAAAGCTGAAAAACAGAAAATTCACAGCTTTGATATCCCGACTTTGGAGGACTGTAAGTTAATGAATGTGAAACCAAAAATGACAAAATTATAGTTTAAAATCATGTACAAACTCTAATACACGTTGCAAAAAACCTCATGATAATCCAACTTCAAACGAATTAGATATATGCATTTTTAAAATTTCACAAAATATAAGAATAAAGCTGAAAAACAGAAAATTAACAGCTTTGATATTCCGACTTTGGGGAATGTAAGTCAATGAATATGAAACGAAAAATAACAAAATTATAGTCTAAAATCATGTACAAACTCTAGGCTACACTTTGGAGAAAACTACATGTTATTCCGACATCAAACGAATTAGATATGCATATTTTAAAACATTCACATAATACAAAAAAATCTAAAAAACATAAAATGTCCAGCTTTGATATCCCGACTTTGAAGGACTGTAGGTCACATGATTCCGATTCCGGTCCGGTTTTCCGATTCTAAATCTCATGACTACTTCGTCGTATTGAATAAAATCAAACTTTGGACGGACCTACCAAACATTATTAGCATAGGAAGGAGGTCGGAGGTCCCTCCAATAAAATCACAAATTTGAGTGTTTTTTTTTAATTACTTAAATTTATATTTTTAATTTTTAATATTATTTTACCAATAAGATCAAATTTGAATCCTTTCTAATTAATCAAATGAATACTTTTTTTTTTTAACTAAATGCACCCATTCTTCCCATCAACGTTCAAAAACTCCATTATTTTTTTTTATAAATCAGTTTATTCATATTTACCTTTTTTATGTCTTATCGCCTTTTTATTTTCTTGTTTTATGTTTAATAGATGAACTAGGTGTGAAACCCGTGTAACATACGGGTTGATTAAAAAAAATTATATATGAAGATATAAACATTAAGTATTTTTTTAAAGAAAACATTAAATATAAAAGTGTAAACATTAAGTATTTTATAGAATAAAATTTCAAAATATATACAAACAAAATGATGAACTTTGATTATATTTTGACCGTATAATCTTTTTTTAAGTTTGTTAATAAAAAGCAACAAAATTTGATTATTTTTTCTATATAAACCATTTCCCTAAAATGACAATGAACTTTAAAAGAAACATGCCAATTTTGAATTATATATATTATAGTAAATTTGAAAATATAAGGAAACAAATTAATGACACATTAATTATTTTCTATAACCTAAAAATTAGAAAGTTAATTAAGAAAATCAAAAATTACCACAAAATGACAAGTGAAAATTAATTTTTTAAAAATTAACCACAAAATTACATGTGTCAAAATGCATGAAAATGTGACATGTGACAAAAAGATTTTCATTTATTAGTATGGATAATTTAGATAGTGATTTATGATTTGATTTTTTTGTATGTGCTTTTAATTTTTTATTCCATTTTTCCATTTTGTTAGTTTTTTTAGTGTTTTATGCAATTTTAAGATGGTGGGTAATGGGTATAAACTATTAAGTGGGCTATGAGTTATTTAGAATGTGGTCATACAGTAGCGAACTATTTAGTGGGTTATGCATTATTGAATTGTCGGTATCATTTCAATAAACACAATATTTCTCATAGTTTTCGGGTTTATGGATTAAAAAAAGTAATCATGTGAATTTATGACCGCCCATGCAAGTGAAAATATATTCCCGTCAATCCTTGTCAATCTTCTTGTTATTCGATATGAAATATATCTCCAAGTATATTGAAGCACTGTAGACAACATATAAAGCTTACAATATAGTGGGAATCGTTTTAGAATGTGTGAAATAATTTCGTTGATTCATTAATGTAGCCATCATATTTGAAAATTTATGCATACCTCAAAACAATAATGACAAATTATTCGGGTATTATTTCAATCAAGTGTTCTCAATTATCTCAATCGAGGGTGGCTGGATGCTAACCATTTATTTATTTCATTTTTGAGGTGTTCTTGATTATCCCAATCCTGATTGGTTGGATAAATACATGGAACTGTTTGTATCCCTTTGGATTAACAAAAATATATATTTTTAGAGTCACATTATCAATAGAGTTGCAAGTCAAAATGTCTAGTTAAAAAACTACTTAGATTCACAACATGCCAACTTAGATTTTAAACCATGTGATTGAAATATGGAAATTGTGGACTATAAGCAATAGTTTTTCTCTTGGTCATAGTGAAGAGTATCGACATCATATTTGGTTGGATTTACATACAAGTTATTAGGTGTTGTGAAGAGTATGCAATGATTGAAGATGACTTTTTAAATAACATAAGCCACTCGCTGAATTTCTATGGAGCAAGTTTTGTGACATTTGAATATTGGCTTACAATCTAACAATAGTTTTTTCGTTGCTAAAAAATAGGGTGTAATCGTTCATCTAAACAAAATATGGATCTACAATGACCTTGGTCCGCAAGACATCCTAAATCACACAACTATAGTTATCACCCAAGGTCACAACTGTCATTATCACAATGTTATGATGATTGAGAAAACATGTATATATTGAATGTCACCATTTCATCAAGTTACATAATAATTGTAATATTTAGAGGGTTCATTTATATAAAAATCAATAAAAGTAAAATTACATTTTATTACTATTATTTATTTGAATGTTACTATTAATGTTTTTAATAATAATAATAATAATAATAATAATAATAATAATAATAATAATAATAATAATAATAATGTTACTATTATTACTACTAATAATAATAATCTAATAACTATTACTATAAAAGAAAATTCACCAAAATCTAATAATAACGAAGCATTGTGTCAACAAATAGGATGCGGGTTGGAAACGGTACTAACATAATTTTTTCAATTAATATTTGAAATAGTCAATTTTAAGTATACTCAAATAACCCCACAATCGATGCAAATATAACATCGTCTTACTTTGTTAAAAAATACTACTAACATTTAATAAATTTGAATTAAACACACACACACACACATATATATATATATATATATATATATATATATATATATATATATATATATATATATATATATATATGTATGTAGGAGTAGGATCAGTTAAGAACACCAAAAAGGTTGAGAACGCGAGAACACATCTGGGCCACTTAAATATTCAAATCTAAGACTATTATCAAACGGGTAATTTATGTTGATTCTAAAACTATTGGTAGTAAAGTGTAACTTTTAAAATGACATAAGGGTATAACAGTAATTGAAACTTTAGGTCAATCCTATAATTTCTCATTACCATTCTTATTTCCATTAAAGAATGTCGTTTCCCTATTCATTCCCCTATCAAACGATTTTTGTAGCCCTAATCGGACCTGCAAGCTGTTGTGAAGATAAAGACTATTGATGGAGTCGCTTTGTTTCTCTACTCATCCAGAAAGCACCCCATTTCTCCTTCGTCTTCGATCTTCAACGCAAGCTTCGACGCCGCCTCCTTCTGCTGCCCTAGCCCCGACAACGCAAGCTTCGTCGAAGATGGTGCAGCGACGTCGACTTCCCCGACCATTGAGACGTCTCAGAAGAGACGAGGATCTGAGACGAGGAGACGGGAGTGGATTCGAAGCATGAAACACAATTTGAGGTAATTTGGTTGAAGGAAATCGAGATACAGAGGGAATAAATCGAAAGCACATGGGTGTATATCAATTCTCCTGTTCTAAATCTACAATCGATGATTTTTTTTGAGGTTAATGGTCTTCATCGTGTGTATATCAATTCTCATGAATCGATTTTTGTTAATTTCAATCCAAGATCATATTTTTTTCATCAATTTTCTCGTTCCTGTTCTTATAGTCAATTTGATTTCATGATTATTAATTTGATTCGTCTCGAACATGAAAATTTCTGATGATCTGTGAGTGAAATCGATCTTTGAAGAATCGATTTGGTGTTTGATTGAATGCTAATCTCGAAGTCTGGTGATGAACGGACGAACCAATCGGATGTGAAGACTGAATCGCTTTGCTGAGATTATCGAATTCTTGGTTGTTTATAGTGATTCTGATTTTGATCGAAATTAATTTGATGACTGGTTCGCAATCACTAAATGGGTTTTACATTCGGGGCTTAAGACACCGGTTAATTCGCAATCTGTGATAAAGCTGAGTCGGAATGGTTGAGATTATTCTAGATAGTCAAAACCATAAAAGTCAAAATCGACTTATGTAAACGAAGAACAGTGGGTTGTTGATTTGGGGTTGTGGAGGGCGTATTTGACATTGGGTTCATTGGCTTTGTATCTAGGACGATTGGGTTGTTTGATGAAATGCGTGAGAGAGGTATTCATTTGTGAATAGCAGGGTATTCATTTGTTAATAACAATGTATTCATTTATAAATAGCAGTGTAATCATGTGTGAATGGGAGTATTTATTTATGATTAGATGTATTTTTTTATTCATTTGTGAATACCAGGGTATTCATTTGTTAATAACAATGTATTCATTTGTAAATAACAGTGTAATCATGTGTGAATAAGTGTATTGATTTATTATTAAAGGTATTCTTTTATGAAGAAATGATAATTTTTACACCCCTTTTATTTTCGGTTGATTAAAAGAGAGGTGAATTACTTGTAAATTGATATGTATTCATTTGTGATTGTAGTAGTATTAGTTTTTTTGAAAAAAAAATCGTTTATGAATACAAATGTATTGATTTGGGGTTGAATGTCTATTAATTTTTTCGAAAAAAAAAAAACGTGAAATAGGAGAAAAAAATTATTTTTTAAGAAAAAAAAAATAAATTTTTTTAGTTTAAATTTTTTTTTGATAAAAAATGTTTTTTATATTTCATTAATAAGAAAAATAAAAAATCAAATATTTCCTTCTTTTTTGGTAACTGATCCTAAATTTAAGGGAATTTAATTGATTTTATTTTATTTTAATTTAATTAAAATATACAATTACTAATATGACCTTATATATTGATTGGTCCAGAACTGTTCTCGCGTTCTCAACCTTTTAGGTGTCGCGTTCTCAACCTTTTAGGTGTTCTCATTTGATCATTTCTCTATATATATATATATATATATATATATATATATATATATATATATAATAATAATAATAATAATAATAATAATAATAATAATAATAATATAGTTTTATATTTTGATGGTATATAATTTAAAATAAAGTTAATATGGATATGGATTCATAATATAAAATAAAGTTAATATGGATAAGTATATATAGTTTCGTTGGTTGATAGTATATATAGTAATATAGCAAATTAGCAGCTCCCTTGGGTCCATGTTCGAGTAGATGGGAATAATTCAAGTTTAATTAGCATATGGAAGTGGAATCGGAATGGGAATCGATCCCCCGCGTGGAATCTTGTTGTTATGTGGTGTCAACACCCGTTGACGGAGTCTAGTCAAACGACAGCGTTGACGACACCAGTAGGCAGCACTGCTTACTTTAGGAATCCTGCCTTCTTACTTCTTCTTCACTTCCATTTCAATCACACACTTGCATTGACATTACCCTTCCAACTCTCTACTCATCAAGTTTCCAGAACTAACCTCCATCGATCATGGGTTCCATTAACAACGACACTGGTGGTGGTGGTGGGGAAGATAGAATTGATGCTCTTGGAAGGCTCTTGTAAGTAATCAATTTTCTTAATGTCAGCTTCATTTTTTGTATTTCTTTGACATTCTGATTTAATTAGTTCATTTGATTTGGAATTAATTGGCTATACAAATCAGAACCCGTATCCTGCGAACATATGGCTTCTGAGCTGAACTTAAAGATGAGGAGTGATGGGTATGTCAAGGTTCAAGATCTATTGAGACTTAACATGAAGACAGCCGCCAATGTTCCAATAACTTCTCATACTTTTGATGATATTAAGGAGGTAACTCCCATCTCTCTGCTCACTGTTTTTATCTTTCCAATGTTCCAATAACTTCTCATACTTTTGATGATATTATATTTTTTCCATGTTCATGTTTTGTTTTGTGGGGATGGTGAAAGGTTTCTTATTAGGAGAACTATTGACATCAATTATTGTAAATGTTTTGGTCTTTATTTATTTTATATTTCTTTGTGGGCTCTACCACATTTGTCAGTTTTTTTTGTTGTGTGTTCTAATTCTTCGTTAGGCTGTCAGATTGGATAACAAGCAGCGGTTTAGCTTGCTTGAAGAAAATGGGGAGCTTTTGGTTCGTGCAAATCAAGGTCATACACTCATGGTAATGCATACTTCATCATTTCATTGTGATGCAAAAAATAGCAACGTACTATCATTATTTTTTTTTTATTATTTCATTTCTTCTTAGTACAACATTTCACTTTGAAAAAAAAATCTACTCGATTATAGCAATATCATATAAATATTAAATATAAAACATTTTTACTATAGTATAATTAGGTAAATTTTTAAAAATATAATATCCAAATAAGAAAAAGATTGAAAGTGCAATGCCATGATTGGATGTATATCTCAAAGTAAAATGTTTAATAATATATATTTTTTATTTTGAAAGTACAATGGTGTAATAGAAAGAAATGGAAGCGTGATGCTAGCTATAATATACAATTAAATGAAAGTATGTTGCTATTTCTAGCGTTCTCTCATAAAACTTATACTATCCGATTGGCAGTTGGTTGAAACTAAAAGTTTACTTAAACCCATCCTCTCACCTGAAGAATATCCTGGTAATGACATTCTACTTATCACACATTTTACAATTTAGTCTCTTTTTCTTCCTTTGGTCATCGGTTTTTTTTTTTTTTTTTTTTTTTTTTTTTTTTTTTTGTGTGTGTGTGTGTGTGTGTGTTATTATTGTCCAGTTTGTATACATGGAACCTACAAAGAGAAGTTAAATTCAATCTTGGAAAGTGGTCTTAAACGCATGAAAAGGTTACATGTACATTTCTCTTTTGGATTACCAACCGATAATGAAGTAATTAGTGGTAAATTTCTCCGTTTTTGCATATATTTTTTTTGAACGGGAAAATATAAATATTGGTGATAAAATTTGAAAAAATCATTTTTGCAGGGACGAGGAGGGATGTCAACATCTTGATCTATCTTCATATTAGGAAAGCCATCAAAGGTACTCACTTTTTCAAGTCAAGATAAAATTACGTATCTGCCCTCTCATTGATAGAAAGTATTTGGGTGGGGTTTTTCAGGGGGGATGAAGCTTTACATATCGGACAACAAGGTGATCTTAACAGAAGGTTTTGAGGGTGTTGTCCCAGTCAAGTATTTTGAGAGGATAGAGTCATGGCCAGATAGGAAACTTATACCTTTTTAATACACTCTCAACATCAACTGAAGTAAGCATCATGATTTTGACATTTGTACATGTCGAATATATCTCAAAAGAAGGATGTTTAATTGGTTTACATGTTTTGTTCTGTTTGTGTTATTTAATATAATATGAGAACAAATAAAGTTTTGATCTTTTTATCTTGTTCGAAATAAAGGGGTGAAATAAATATACAAATATCATAAATTTTGATCTTGATGCAAGATAACTTTTAGTAGAAAATTGTGTGATAATACTTGAAAGTTAGAAGGATAAGAATGATCGCATGGTTGTTAAACCAATTACAAAAGTAAGGTACAAAGGGATATAGCAATAGCTATTTGCTAAAATGATTATGTTTGAAAGACAAATATATCAAGATACGCATATTTTCAATGTTTATCATAAAATAACCACCTAACTGGCAGTGACACTGAATGACTTTTTCGAACATTAAAATTGCGAATTTTTATTATTTTTGCAAGGTTAATATATTTTTCGCAAGGATGAAATAATCTTGAAATTGGTTAACATAAATATTTCTTAAAAATATAAACAAAATAAATTGTAGCAAAATGAAATGGTTAAGGTGTATGGTTTCTAAGAACATTGTTGTGGTTTCAAATCCTAAAAAAAAGGTACCTTAAACATGAAAGTCCCATGGTCTTTGTTGGATTTTGAACTCACAACTTAAGCCATTAGCTCACAAAGAAACTCCAAAAGTATTTGAATCAAAGAACAAGCCAAAATCTATGAGTACAAACCCACTACAATTGTTATGTTGCATGTTTTGAGTCGAACACAAGCAATGGCAACAATAACAACATACCTTAGAAATCCCATTAAAGAGAGATTGGAGAAATTAGATATCGACAATCATGTCTCCATAAAAAAGCATGTACGTATCTAAATTCATGGAAGGTAGTTCCTAAGACCTCCTTTTTTTTTAAATAATAATACAAGAAATATATGTAAAAAAATAAGGACCTACCTTATTATTTTTAAATGATCTATCTTTTAATCTTTGGCAAAAAAAAATCAACCTTATTTTATATATTCCGATCCACATAAATAAACCAAATGCTTCTATCCACTTAAAATTTATTCATATGCAATAACTGAATCTAGTTAAAGTTCAACAAAAAAGGATAAAAGCTTCATCAAAACTTGATCACCGATCGATATATCCAAATGTTTGTTGCCTCATTCTGTTCTCGTCGGCTTAACCGATAAGTCTCACATTCCAACTATCTGTTGTCCAACTGTTGTTCGGCCATCACATCGCCCACCGTCACCCCTCCCCAGGTGCCACCACTTCCTACCCTTTTCCCATCGCCTCCAGCAGCCCACCCTCTTGTAGTCTCCACTTATATTTTTTACTCTTTCATTTCTTTTTAGTTTCATTTACATAAGGAACCATATGTTTTTTTAGTTCTAGATTCGTTGTTATAAAAAAGAAGGTGGGTGTGGAACGATTGTATTACATACAATCACCTCCGATATCTGTAAAACGAGAACCAGTAAACGAGACAAACAAAAAAAAGAGCAAATCAAAAAGAGCACTAAGGCATAAGTCAAGGAAAAATCATAACAAGAGTATAAGTATATGCATCCGATAACCAGTAAATGAGTCGAACACAAGCAAAACCTTCAAATGAATGACATAATCATAAAAGGGTGTTGGTGTTTGTATCCCCATCATTCATAAAATTCCTCCATGCACCCTCCTTTTTTGTCATTTTATCGTCTTTTAAAACTTTTTTGATTAGATATATTTTGTCTTTTTGTTATTTTTTGTTATTTATTTTTGTTGTCTTTTATTATTATTATTATTATTATTATTATTTTAAAAAATTGATTTGATTAGATGTCTCTTCAACAGTCTGAATGAAAAAAATAATATATGAATAGTCCGAACGGAAAAATAACACAAAAATATTCGAAACGGAAAAACAACACAATGACAGTCAGAACGAAAAAGAGTAACACACTAATAGTCTAAATGAAAATAAAAATAATATGAAAATAATCTGAACTAAAGAAAATATATTTTTAATGTTAATAACAATAATAATAATAATAATAATTAAAATTAATGAAAACAAAAAAATAACAAAAATAAATAAAAAATACAAAGATAGTCCAAACAAAAAAAATAAATAAATAGAGAAAAATACGAAAAGAGAAGTAGAAAAGGAAATTTGGGGGTGAAAAAAAAGGCAGAATTTCGTATATACCCATGCTAAACATTTAAATATCGTATTTGCCCGACCTAAGCTTTAAATATCGTATTTGCCATTCTTAAATATTTTTAATATCTTATTTACCCAAATCTATTTTTCTGATAACTTTTATTGATTTATAATTATTTTTCATAATTTTAAATGATTATAATTAAAGGAACTTAATAAATGGACAATAATGCCCCTAGTCTAATTTCCGGTACATATAAATCGCGTTGATGATTGCAGGCTCCATATGGCATCGCAGCTTTAGCTTCTTCACGTATCTCAGATCAAGCGCCAACCAGCAATTCGTATTGGAAGCTACATACTACATCTATGATTCAGAATTCATGTATTCATCAAACGCACTAATTATTCAATCAGGTAGAATGCGAATTCCTTTTTTAGGGTTCCTAGTTTCAATTGTTCAAATCCTTTATAGTTGCGATCGACTAGAATTAACATTAATATAGTTTTAATTGTTCAACTTCTTTCATGTCTATCTCGTGTATACTATCCCTAAGTTTAATCAATTGTTTATTTCTTTATGATTTTGTTCAAATCTGTACATGCTTGAAATCGAAACAAGCAGATTGGCCTTCAGAGTCTTGCTCAACGAGCTGCAAAACGGTTTAATTGACAAACAGAGCTAACAAAATAACCTACTGATTGTATCCGATTACACATCTATTGATCACGCATTCTCAGGTTTTAAGTTATTCATCCGTTGTAATCATGAATTGAATGTTCAATTCACAAATAAAGCCAGAAATTAACCTGATAATCGTGCCTATTGCAACAGGGAAGAGGCGAGAAGGCTGAAAAGAAGGTCGACTTTGTGCATTTTTTGATCGACGAGATCTTCTGCGATCGCAGAAGCCATTAGGTAAGGGGTTTATGCGATAGAGAGTAAGGGTATTCTTGTCTATTTAGTTATTTTTTTTCAATCTTAATGATTTTAAATTGTAAAAAATGATTATTAAATAGTAAAATCTATTTAAAAATTAGATTTGGGTAAATATGATATTTTAAAATATTAAGAAGGGCAAATATGATATTTAAAGTTTAGGTCGGACAAATACAATATTTAGATGTTTAGCATGGTATATACGGCCAAAAAAAAAAAACTCCATCATAAAAACTCATCCCTCATACCATTTTTTTATTTTGGACAAACACAACACAAGCCAAGCAACTTGGTTAATAAGAAAAATTAGTAAAATCATGATTATGTCAATTTCAAATATAATTTTGTAAAAAAAAAACAGTGTAATTTGTATTTTTTAACTTTTAACAGATTTACAAAAACAAATAAATTTTAACAAAAGAATTAAATCCATTCTGTTTTTACAGCCAAACTTTTTAACAGATTTAAATTCATTCATATTTCAATTTCAATGAGTTTCATGATTCCGATTCCTTCCAAAAAATCGCAGCAACCTTGTATCCTCAAGGAACGCAGCTTCATCAAAATATCCAGTAACAGCATCACCTTTCATCTCTGCAATTCAATTAAGGTTCAAATTGATGTTTAATTAACCAAAGCAACTCGAAAAATACCCAATTTTTCTACCTAAAATCTCGAGAACTATCACTGTCTTCGACTCAGGCATTACCCGTAGATCTGCTCGACGTGTTTAATTAGGACTCTGGCGAGGCTGTGGAGGATCCTCACGAGCGCATTGCAACGGAGGCACTCTTAAGGTAAATTTCGTAAACCCCATTTATAGTTTCGAGTTTCGAGTTTTCCCATTGGAGTTATTCTTGTTTACCCGTTAATTGAATAATTTAAGCTCAGTTTGTAAATCTTAGAGCTTCAAGATGTTGCAATCTGAGTTGTCTCGTAGTAGACATAGGGCTCAAAATTATCAAGTCGGATTGGTAACTCACAGGGATTCTACTTTTGGGAGATCTGTTGTTATGCATATGAGGAAAAGTTGCATTCCACATTGAGCTTGCAACAAGTTAGAAATCATGTTGTCATACGGCAATAAAGATCTAGTCTATAAATTTTGTTTTTTGAAGTTTGAAACTATTTTTGATTGCTGTTCTTTGTCCTGCATCCTATATGTCATTTAATTTTGTCTGCCAAATCATTGTATGAGATCTTGTGGCAAGAATCTTCAACCATCAGCAAGACATTATCATATGGGGATCTAAGCCTAGCAAATTCATGTAGGGAATTTCAATCATGTTAATGAGTATGGTCTGTATAGAGAAAATGATTACTGTTTATTGTGTGAGCTTAGATATTTTACTGACAATCAAACTTGTATGATACATTTGCTCTTTATTTCTGCAGACAAGTCATAGTGGACAGAATTTAAATACATACATAACAGTGTTGTTTTGGGAACAAAGCTCCTTCAAGGATCTTTAGGGATGATAGTGTGCTTTGGATGGCGACAGTTTCTTTTGTTTGTGACACTTGTTTTCTTTCTAACCCATTTTCTCTCAGGTTCTTATCTTCTTTCATCTGTTTTTTAGCAGTTAAATCATCCTCATAAATCTTTTCACCATAAATAACCAAAATCCTTTGTTATCTTAGTTATGGAGTTGCATCAAGACTCAAATGTTAAAGATCCACACCAAAAGAAACAAAAAAAATTTAATCATCTTGTTCTTGGACCCCCTGCTGGTGAAGGTCTGCCACATCGTTTGCAATGCAAAGGTATTTTCAACAACCTTTAAAATTACTAAAATGTTTCCAAATTTTTTTTAGGCAAGTTTTCAAGATATCTGTTTCGTATTTTTCATCGTTACATATTCTTGATGGCAGTTCAAAAGCCTTCACTTATCTTGTCATCAAGGGCATTTTGGTAATTTTACACATTTTTCTTGTAGGCACCAAGGCTCTTAACAAGATCCAAATATCAACATCCTCCAACATTTCAAATGGTGGTGGTGGTGTTTCTTTTGTTACAATTTTCACGGTTTATAACTCTAGTGTTGATGA